GAAAATAAAATAATAAGGGGCAAATCCGTCATTATAAAAAAGTTCATAGGAAATTGGACTAAACTCGCAACAAAACGAAACTATTGGACCATCCTTGCGAGCCAAACCCATTTTGGACCAAAGTTGCTAGTTTTGACATACCACAGGGACCATTCTTGCAATTTTGTCTATATTCAAAAGAATGTCAAAAAGAACTTGTTTTTTTTGATAGAATAGCGAACATATTTAGCTTATATGGAAATTTTATAAATCTTGGAGTTTGGTTAAAGCGAGATTTGAGTTTCATCCGGTTTCTCTTGGGATACAGATACGATATATGCCCTGGATGACAATAATTTAGCATCTGACTTGTTGGTTCCTGAACTCATAGGCATGAGATTTTAGACTTTAGAGGCTATAAAAGCCATCAAAGAGTGGTTCCATCATTAAACATTACAATTGATTTCATTTTAATGCTTGCAATAGAAATTAAAAAGACACATCAAATGGTAATAACAACAAAAGACAAGAATTTCAAAATTACAAATTCAATAGATTCTTGGCTTATAAAGACACATAAAAATACAAAAGAACAGTATTTTACAACTTACAATTTTATAGAATAATTTATTATCTTCAAGAGTCATATAACAATTTGCTTCTATTTGTCATTCTTGTATTATTAGCATTATTTTTTTTATCTAAAAAATGTCAGAGGATTGGGTTGTCATATTTTTTGTGAATTTTCATCTTTGTGCTTTATATACTGATAAATGGAACATTCATACAAATATTATCCATAAAATGAACCTGCTACTAAGGTTGTAGCTTGCATCCATTTGAAGAGGCTAGGCAAGTCATGAACTGATCACTTGATTATTCAACATACAACCACATTTGTTCAACTTTATATTGCTTTAATATTTTTCAATTTGATTTACCTTTTTAGGTGCTGTGTTATATATATATATATATATATAATATATATATATATATATTATATATATATTTGCAAGTGTTTTCTCTCATGAAATGTTAATCAAATGCAGGGAAGTTTTGTGGATTTTGAGCCTGTGGTTGTTAGAAAATCAGAGCTTAAATTGTGGGCCATAGTTGTAATTGCTCACCAAATATCCAAACATTTGTAGTATTAAGGGTAAGAACAACATTGTAACTTATCAGCTTCTACCGGAGTTTTAATAAATAAAAACCCTTTAATTTGTAGGCTTACTTGATCTTTTTTTTACATTCTTTGAAGAAGTTGAAAGAACTACTTCTTCTTCCTCCGATCACAGTCATGAATGTACTATCTATGCAAGTGTTGAGTGCTTTAAACAACAGATTACCACATGTAAATTTTTTTTATCAGTTTTTTGTTTTGTTGCATATTAGTCGATCTGTTTGATGACCGTTGTGAAAGATGATTCCAAGTGAGTTGTTAAGTTTGTCATTGAAGCAAATCTTGTTTAAGGATCTCATAAAAGTTCGGATTACTCTTCATAAAGGTCAAATCTTATTATATATTTCCCATCAACTCAAATGTTTTGCCTGTCCAAAAATTTATAACACGTATAGATAATATGTGCTTCCATCTGACATGTTACATTTTTTAGATATAAGTGAACTAAAGTTACTAAAAACATGCACCCTTTTTTTATCCGGATGGAAAGGATAATCTAATGCCTTTTGAGCACCCTTTCACTGCTATTGCTTAATGGAATTACAGTTGGGATTACACAATAATCATAAAAATAACAATGTTTTCTTACTTTAACAGTTGGGATTAGACATCAAGTTTTATGTTTGAAGTGTTTTACTAAACATCTCCTTTTTTTTGTGGCCTAGGTTGAGTCAAATTCTTTTCACAGAAACTATATTGCTATTTTCAACAGAAAAAACATCTTCCAAATTCCTAGCCCGTAACAGGATCGTACTATCATTTCCTTAACAAAGAGGCAATTTGTGGGTCGTGCTTAGCACGGGCCTTAAACTTTTCTAGTATATATATATATATAATATATATATATATATATATATATATATATATATAAACCTGTTCGAATCTTGGCACCCTCAAATTCTTCCCTAAGCGCCTTTTTTTTAAAGCAAATGGAATATCTGCCTAGTCAGCACTCGTCAACCAAAATCATAGGTAAGTCGCAGCCAAAAATCATAGGTAACGCTGCCACCTGTAGTGCCATATGTTCACCTTACGTGCTTGTGACTGGGAAACCCTAAAGAGGTATATGTGCATAACCTAAACAAAATATCTGGTTTTATTGAACCTAAACTCCCCAAAGGGTAAATTCGAATATTTCCGGAAAGCTTAAGGGCTTTTATGTCATTTTCCCTAGAAATATATAGGAAATCTCTTAACTTCGACAATTTCATGTAGAGTTTTTCTTTCAATGAATTTTTGTTGTCAATATTCTATATATAATATTATGACACTGTTACGCAATAAAGCAAAATAAAGTGCTAAAACAACACATCAATTTGTACGTGGTTCAGTTGATATGATTACCATGGAATTCTTATCGGTCCTAAGACTACTCGCAACACTTATTTACTAGTTATAGAAGTTAACAGATTGCACATGCCCTCAAAATGTCGATGCTGGCCATGCATGTCATCCATATACCGAGGAGTCAACGTCGTCTGATCTCTTTATCAATATCCACACGAGACATGGTTGTAACCATACTCTTGGAGAGGTGTTTAGCAGTTGGCAATCTAAACCCCTTTGAAAAATGTAAATAGGCATATCCAGACGTTGCCCAAAATGCAAGGGGGCTTGGACACCCCGATACTCGATCGGACAACGCTAAACAAAACACAAAAGTTGTCGAATGGAGAAAACTGGATGCCTGTTTTGTTGCTTCCTTTCAAATGTGCAACTCTTGCAATATGATACCATGGTCTTATAACCGTTTGAAGGTGTTCAAAGAATGTTCCAATATATTTACCAACTACCTGTCCTTGTTTTGCGACCAATAGACTCCGGTGACGTTGAGGGTAACGCCAGTCTATTATGTTTATGCACGTACTCCAACCCGATCAAGTTTTGAACGTGTGTAATCCTCTTACATGGAAGTTTTGTATCGACAAGTACTAACACATACACAAAACCACAAACATTGAAACATATTTTTCTATATAACTAGTTTATGCTCTTTATTTAATTTATAATGGTAGAGATTGATAACCCCACAAAAAAGAGCAAAATCTATTTCCACTCTATTCTAGATTCGGATTTCCCTACACTACATATTTGGCCCACAGGGGCGTTAGATCTCACTAATGCGGTGGATTTTGATAGGCAAGCCTTGTTTGGGCACGGGAAAGGGGCCATACTGTATGCCATTGTGATCTCCGATCACGTCCCATCGGTAGGAGGTGATGAGGTGGTGGATGAGGATGAGCGTCTCAACCTTAGCTAGCTCGCTCCCTGGACACGAGTGAACTCCATTCCCAAAAGGCATGTATGTGTTAGCCCGAGGTGCTACCTGCATTGTACAACCATGTCAAATAACTTAATTAATAATGTGTCCAACTATAGTGCATGTTTTATATATTAAAAGTGCAACAAAATTATGAGGTGATTAATTAGGTTGTAACCTCGAATCTTGATGGATCAAACTTGTCGGGGTTAGGGAAAAAGTCGGAGGAGTAATGAATGGCCCTAAAGAGAGGAAGAACCTTCCAACCCCGTGGAATCAGATACCCATCTATTTCCACGTCTTCAACCGCTTCTCGAAATGTAAACGAGAGTATGCTTGCGGTTCTCAGTGTCTCTTGTAACACTCGCATAGTTAATGGCATTTGTCGCGTATCATCCCATGTAATCCCACGGTTGGCCTCGAGTCTCGTGCACTTGATTTCTTCTTGTTCCATCTGTATTAATTAGAATGATTTTTATGGTAAAAATATGCATGATACCAATTAATTAAGTTAAGATTATACTATTTTCGACGGATTCCAATAATCCGTCGATTGTAAATTGTGTTTTCGATGGACAAACGGTCGGTTTAATCTTTTCTTCAAGGTCGAAAAGATTTGCATACCTTAACAGCATCCAAGAGATGAGGATTATCATGCAAGTTCTTGAGAAGCCATGTTAGGACACTTGCAGTTGTATCATGAGCTGCAAATATGACTCCAATTATATTATCTGCTATCTGTGAATCACTCAATTGATCTTTTTCCTTTAATCCCAATAATAACCCAAGCAATCCTCCACCATGCTCCCCATTCTCTCTTCTCATTTCTATCATCTTCCTCAATTTCTCATTCAGAAGCTTCCTCGCCTGTAATTTCATGATGTTACTTTAGAAAAACTCCCACATTTCAAACAAAACAAAACTCATAAAATTAATAAAATTTTATACATGAAAAAAACTAAGCATAGCGAGCTAGATCATTTAAATAATCGTACTTGTCGACTGTGGCTTCATTACAAGCTAATTAACCGCAAAAGTTTCTTGTTTTGGCACACTTATATTTTAGTTGCTACAACGTTTAATTTTTAAACTAATTGCAGTTAATATATATATATATATATATATATATATATATATATATATATATATATTATATATATATATATATATATATATATATATATATTCCCCCGATTGTTTTCAGTTTTTATTCGAAAACTTGATCATTTCCTAGTTATCTTTATTTTTTTGTTTTTGTTTTTGTTTTTTTTTTGGTTCAAGTGCCAAATAATTTATATGTGAAGAGACAAGTGTACTTGAAGACAAAAATGAAGTGGGATTGCGTGATGTGAGCAAGGTGGGATCGCATGACAGGGGTACTTGCTATTTTTAGAAAGTAACGGATGATCTTGTCCTGACCTTCATTGCTTTATTGAATGGAGTTCCAGGGAGATCCAAAGGCATGGAATTGTATCCTTTCTCTATACATTGATACAAATGCTTCACTCCTTTCATCTCATCCACCTCCAACTTCTTCCCGAACACAGAAATAATAGCGACTTGATACGAATACTACAATCAACAACAAATCAATGATCAGTCGTCCATTACACAACCCATTGATGCATGGTAACTTGAGCAACAAGTTATATATCATACCTTCTTCATCTCATGCAAAGTGTTGATAACTTTGGAATGCTCCCAAACAGGAAGAAGATCGAGGACAATGGATTCGATCTTGGGAACCAAACCTTTGATGGCGGAAGGAAGAAATGACGATCGGATGAGTTTCTTGAGATGAGAATGGTAGGAGCCTTGGTGAAAGAAGACAGCTTCAGGGCCTATCATCATCTCTTTGCTTGTGGGGTATGTTGGTTTAAAGAGATGAGATTGAGTCACCAAGACGGTTTTCGCTACCTCAGGGCTTGATGTCATCACACATGGGCATCCGAGTATATGACTCTTGAAAATCTTCCCATGCCTACATTTACAAATTTAACCACTTTAGGAATCGAAACAACATTCAAGAAACAAAATAATATCACATATTTTGTAATGTGTCGATATTTTTTATAAAATATTGTACATGTTGATTAAAGTTTCGAATAAAGTTATTTAATATTGTAATGACAAAAAACAAGCGGAAATTAAACTACAATATACAAACCTTTTTTGACGTTTAGAGAAGAAATTGTTCGGATTCTGTGAGTAGAGACTGAGGGTTTCGCCGATATAAGGCCAACCCATTGAACCAGGAGGTAGCCGCCGCTTGTCATTTTCCGGCTGGCCACGGCGCCGATGTATGAAAAAACACACGATCGTCAACAAAAGGAGGAAAGGTACAAAGGGTAAGAAAGGGAGAAGTGGTGGTGGAAGGAGAGACATCGTAGGTGGTGATTGTTCGATGTCCGAGAAATATCGAATTGTGGCTGAAGTGGTTTGGACGGAGGAGGGTGGCGGGTTTATATAGGCAGTGTTGAAGAGGTTGGGTGGGCCTTTGTTTTTCTGGGACAGATGGCACTGAGGTATGAGAACACCTAACCTCAGATAAACCTCTTTAATTGTCCTTTAACTCAAAATAGACGAATGGCATTTATTAAAAGATATTATATTATAAATTAAATATTTATTAACTAGATAATTCCGTAATACCTAATTTTATAAGAAAAGTAAATTATTATATTATTATATATATATTAAAGTTGTGGAAGAAAAAGAATAGTAAACTTGAGATACTTTGTCCAAGTTTGGTCCCTTGATCTACATATCGGGTTCCGTATTTCTTTAATTAATTTATTCATGTCCTTTTGTTTGTGTTCTATTTAACTTTCCATTTTTTTGGCAGAATTGGTCCCTGTATTATTGTTGGAAGTTAGGAATACTAAATTTGAATGTTTTTTTGGCAACTTTGGTCATTATTCTTTACCCATTTTGACATTTTTGGTCCTTGCAATCAATATTTTTACACTTTTTTGGAACCTTTTAATATTTAAAGTTTGGCCACAAAACTTTAACGGTTTGACAACTTTGATCCCTTTTCTAAAAAGTTGCTAATTCCTACCCCTTTAATTCTTTAGCAATTTTCACACTTTTGGTCCTTGCAGTCAAAACTTTTACATTTTTTGTCCGGGGCAAAGCCCGGACTTTTCATCCTTGCACTTTCTATGTCTGTCATATTTATCAATTCGGAAACAACATTGAAAGCTTCTGGCCCCCGCGTAGCGGGGGTAACCTTTCTAGTATATATTAAAGTTGTGGAAGAAAGGAATAGTAAACTTGGGATACTTTGTCCAAGTTTGGTCCCTTGATTTACATATCCGATCCCTGTACTTCTTTTATTAATTTATTCATGTCATTTTGTTTGTGTTCAATTCAACTTCCCATTTTTTTGGCAGAATTGGTCCCTGTATTATTGTTGGAAGTTAGGAATACTAAATTTGGATGTTTTTTGGCAACTTTGGTCATTATTCTTTACCCATTTTGACACTTTTGGTCATTGCAATCAATATTTTACATTTTTTTGGAACCTTTTAATATTTAAAGTTTGGCCACAAAACTTTAACGGTTTGACAACTTTGATCCCTTTTCTAAAAAGTTGCTAATTCCTACCCCTTTAATTCTTTAGCCATTTTCACACTTTTGGTCCTTGCAGTCAAAACTTTTACATTTTTTGTCCGGAGCAAAGCCCGGACTTTTCATCCTTGCACTTTCTATGTCTGTCATATTTATCAATTCGGAAACAACATTGAAAGCTTCTGGCCCCCACGTAGCGGGGGTAACCTTTCTAGTTATTATTATTACCATCTTTTTAACGCAAACTAATATATTTATTAATTAATAAATTAATATTTTTGTCTTCAACAAACTTGAACCTATAACATTTTAACTGATAAAGTCAATCCTTACCGTTATGATTTAAAATAATTTGGTTTGATTCTTAAAATTTTCTTTTAACCCAAGCAATTTATATGTTTGTTTTAGTCTCCATATATATAAAATTAAAAAAACTATTTTACCCTCTATACTTTTTTTAATAATTTAAAAAAATCAAAAAACCAACTCACCATTACTTCACCCATTCCCACAATCATTATAATCTCTCTCTCTCTCGTAAATTAGTGAAGAACCACAAAATTAGTATTTATACCACTACCGCCACCAACCTCAAGGCCTTCATCGACAACCTCAAGACCATACCTTAAAATTACAGGACCACCACTGCCAGCAATCCCAATATCACTTTAAATCGCCACTAGAAAAAAATGAAGATTTCATATCTCCTTCTATCTCTCTCATTACCTAAAAGTCCACCATTGAATTTGTACAACAAAAAATCAGACTATACAAAACGTTTCCACTATCTTTGTATTTTGATGAGAAATCGTTCAACAAGAAATCATTATTATTTCCGACGAAATTGTTCATCAATAAATCGAATGGTAGAACTCTGACGAAATCTTTGTTATTTTTTTTTCTTGACGTCCGAAGCTTAGTAATGAAAACCCCAAACCTATTTCGTTTCCCTTATCTTTGAAATCATTTTTCTACTTTTGGAGGTTTTGATTTGCTTCCTGGTACAATTTGGATTGTTGTTTGGCACTGAAAATGGTTGATTTATTGGCAGGGACGGACCCAAAAATACATATTAGGTGTTGTTGGTGCAGGAAAAACAGGTAAAAAAATCAAAATTTTTTCCCACTAGGTACAGGAAAAGTAGATGTTATCGGTACAATACTCGGCACCCTACAAGAACCGCCACTGTGTATTGGTACTCAACTAATTTTGGTTCCTATATTTTAAGATACCATTTTTATTTTATTTTAATGGGTCATTGTCCTTAAAATGTGGTTTTGATTTTGATTTAATGAGTAACACAAATATGAATCCAATTTTACTTGATGTTATAATGATCATATAAAAATAGATGGATTTTTTTTGGGTTTTAGATTATTTTATGAATTCTTTCATACTGAGGTTGGCATCGACAGAGATGTTGAGTTTCATGGAGGAGGAAGATGAAGTTAAGGAAGGAAGAGATATGAAAGGTAAATGCAAGGTGGGATGTGGGGGTGGTCCCCTAATATATTTACTAAATATATAATAGACGCAACAAACGAATATTATGGGACTATTTAAGACACACACACACAAAAATGAACATGTAAATTACCCCAAGCCTTAAGAAGTATAGTTTAGTCTTAAAAGAATAAATACAATTGGTTCTTCGGAATAGAGTAGGATCAAAAACTCCTCTTTGAAAACCAGACCACTTTTGAAAACAAGTAAGATTTTCGTATTAGGCGCGAGGAGCTTGCTTAAGGTCATATACAACTTTTTGGAGTTTGTAACAGTAGTTTGGATAAGCTAAATTTACAAATCTGGGAGGCTTTTAGAGATAGACTTCACTGTCAAGGTCACTATTGAGGAAGACACTTTTGAAATCCATCTAGTAAACTTTAAAAGCCTCATGAGTTGCATATGCAATAAAGATACGAATGGCTTCAAGACGTGCAACATGTGAAAATGTCTCGTCATTGTCGAAACCTTCAATCTGTGTGATACCTTTGGCCATTAATCTTGTTTTTTTTTTTCAGATGATTACTCATGCATCATCGAGCTTGTTCCGGAAAACCCAGCGAGTTCCAACAATTGGGTGATCCTGAGGAGGCGGCACAAGAGTCCATACTTGATTTCTGTCAAACTCAGATAGCTCTTCTTGCATGGCTGTAATCTAATCGGAATGTTCTAAAGCTTATTTGATGGATTTGGGTTCAACCATTAAGATAAATGCATAAAAGTGACATTCATTTTGAATATAAATAGCAGAGCGAGTTTGAACTCCGACATTCTGATAACTTGGTCGGGAGGATGATCCTTTGTCCAGATATGTAATCTTGGAAGTTCTTGTGTAGCTGAAGATTCGACATCAACGATGGAGTTGTGTTGCTCCCCCTGAGCATTTTGAATTTGAGAATGATGCTCCCCCTGAACTTCTAAACCATAGATATCTTCATCAGCGAAGGGAAAATCAAAGAAGTCCGCATCATCGTCACTGTTCGGAACAGGATTAATTTCGGTAAATTAGTCTGCTACATTTTGAAATCCTTCAACATTTGATTCGAGGGTTGGATTACTTCCCTGACCTTGAGGCATAGAAGTAGAGGTATTCTCCCCCTCAACCTGAGAAGGAGATATTTTAGAATCAAACGTAGGAAAGGTTGGCATCGGACCAGGCAAAATTTGAGAAACGGAAGGATTTGGAGTTGATGAGGGTCTTGATTTAGATTCATAGTTAAGAGTTGTTTCTACCGGTCCTAACAGACTTTCAAAATGAACTTCATATATAACTTGATGATTCGGAGAACCAGGAGGTATAACATCAGACTCCATAATGTGAGTTGTGACATGAGTTGGTTCCGAGTTCCGAATGAAGTTGTCATAAAAAGTAATAGCAAAGCTTTTTTCGATGACCCGGGTAAGATGATTGAAAACCCGATTAGCTTTTGATTTGGATGAGTAACCCAGGAAGATAGCTTCATCAGATTTCGGTTGAAACTTGGTGAATTGATCACGATTGTTCTTGACCGAAGATATGTAGAAATGAGATACTAGGCTTCTGACCATTGATTGCTTCATAAGGTGTCATGTTGGGCCTTCGATTGATGATGCTATGATTTTAAGTAAAGCAAGCTGTGGAAACTGCTTCAACCCAAAGATATAGAGGTAGATTGGCAAAATTCAGCATCGATCAAGCAACTTCAATAAGTGTTCAGTTTCTTCGTTTAACGAAACCATTTTGTTGTGAAGTGTAGGGAGCAGAAAATTTGGGTTTAATACCTTTGTTAACAAAGAACTTTTCAAGTGTGGCATTAGTGAGCTTCGTTTCGTTGTCACTGCGAACTCTACGCACAGTCAGCTTCGTTAGAACTTCAATTGCCTTGATGAAATTAGTGAGTTTGGAAGTTGTTTCCAACTTCAATCTTAAGAAGAAAACCTAAGTGAATCTGGTGTAGTCATCTACAATCATAAGGTTATATTTCTTGTGATGAAGACTCTCTACTGTAGAAGGACCACATAGATCAATGTGAATAAGCTCAAGTGGCTCGGAAATGGAACATCAGAACATTATGACTTTAATTTCTTGGATTACTTCCCATATTCACACTCACCATATAGATGATCGTTATCAAACTTGTGGATAGGCAATCCTCAGACTATATCACCAGAAAACAGATCATTCATGTATCGGAAATTTAGATGAGCAAGTCTCTGATGTCATATCCAACTAACATTAGGAATCGATTTTGTTAAAAAACACATATGAGGCTTTCCGAAAATCATGTTGTCATCCAGGGGATAAATTTTCTTTTTCTGATCTGATTTAA